TGACAAAGATGACGACTATAGTCCAAATAATGTACATAATACCTCATCTCAGAAATATAGACAGATACAACTTTTATTAGGTAATACCAACATTTTATATAGGAAAGGGATGCAAAAGAAACTCTAATTTAGAGGCTGTTGTAATAAAAGAGAAGCTGCCAACATTAAATAAGTTAGCTTTCTCCATGTGTATGCCATCAGTCAGCCCCGAGAGACTATGGATTTTAGGTGGCAGCCAGTCTAGGAAAATAAACATTCTAGTTATAAAGTCTTGAAGGAGGCAAAGAGAGAGTCATACGGTCACATCACTTTAAAATACCGCATCTCGTCAGATCAGCGTAATTGGGGGATTACTTGGGAATACTGAATGGTTGAATGTTCGATGTGCGGAGTGGGTAATGAATGACACGGCCTGGAATGAGAAATCTGAAAGCCGACTTTAAGTTCCAATCGGTTTCGTTACATTTTACGCGAAAATACCCATGGGCGATCATGAAACGACAAATTGAGATGATCGCCCAAGCGTATGACATCCACTCCTTACCAACACGCATTGTAATAGAGCGATAGCGTAATCGATCATTCGCCCCGTGATCTGAGGTAGACCCGCGTACAACTAAGGACCTTCATGGAGCGAGAAGAAGAAAGCTAAGAGAAATGATTCCATTACCCGTGTAAAATGTGCTGATACTTAACAGACACCAAAGTAAAGGAACCTGCCATAATCGCTTACGGTGTTAGGTCTATGCTTAGACTATTTCTGTTACATATGATCCGGTTCCACTATTATTTATCTTGATCTCCTTAATAAAATCCAAAGAAAATCAGCAATATTATCGGTCCTAATCTGGCGAATCGGCTTCAGTTGCTTTCCACCGGCGTAAGGTTACCTCCCTGTGTCTTTTCTACAAATACTTTCATGGTAATTGTTCGGATGAGCTCTACGCTATGGAACCTACACACATTAAATTTAAGCGCAGTACTAGACACGCGTTGAGATCTTATCAGTTGACATTTGAGCTGGCTAGCTATCACCGTAAATTTTATGCTAACGGTTTATTTTCTCGCACTTATCAGTTGTAATACACTCTTTCGGCGCCATACTATCTAGCCAAATCTAATCTGCGTAAGATTTAAATGCAATGTCAATCGCTATCTACTATTCTGTTGATTCCTCTTTTCTCTTCCCGCTCATTATTCATTTTTCTGTTCCTGTTTCTTCTATATCCAGTAACCCCTTGTGTCTTAGTGGCTTTACTGCCTTGCTTCGGGGTGAAACCGATTTCTAAAAAATTCTAGAAATTCTTTAGTGCTGTAAAAGCACTATTTACATTATTCGGAATATTGTCCTCATCATTGTTCCCATATCTATCACAACGTTTCGGCCGCTGTATGCCCCAGCCTTCTTCAGTTGGTTAGAATATCGAACCCTTTATCTCGCACAGTGGATAAAAGCGTTAGTTAGATCCAGTGACAGGACCCAAAGAATGTGAGTTCAATACCTGGTCAAGGCGGTGGAGAACTTGGAGAGGGGGATTAAAAGGAGATAACTGATAACTGACATCCATTAAACATGGTACGTGGAACTAGAACACTCTACACCAGTGAGCGAAATAAAGGGTTCAGCTCGACATTCCAACGACCTGAAGAAGGCCGGAGCGTACAATGGCTGAAACGTTGTGATAAATATGGCGACAAATTCGGACAATAGTCCGAATAATGTAAATAGTGTACATAATATCTCATTTCAGGAATATAGAAAAATAAGCGTGATAATGCAGAAAACGGCCAACGATTGGCATTGAATTTAAATTTTTGAAGATCAAAGTCGGCTGTAAACTATGTAGACATAAAAGTGTTCCACAAGCGACAAGCCCGAGAAAATAAACGTTTAGTATAGCTAGCCATTTCAAGTGTATATTTATGAGATGTTGGTAATCTTGTACTACGCTTAAATTCGTCTAGGTACCATAGCGAAGAGCTCATCCGTCCGAACAATTGGCATGAAATCAACGTTAGGCATATATATATATATATATATATATATATATATATATATATATATATATATATATATATATATATAAATGGTGGTACTCGTTTGAAACCTCGGATAGCTCACCTTGCAGTAGAGCAAATCGTTGTGATAAATATAGCACTAAGGATGAGGACAATAGTCTGAATAATGTAAATAGTGTGCATAACACCTCATCTCAGAAATATTGACAGAAGCTGTAAAAGCATATGATACGCTGATTACATTTCAATTAAATGAGTGCATTGGGAGCCATTTCAAGAACTAGCCTAAAATCTGGCATATAGGAGAATAAATAGAAATTAACGAAAACTAAAAAAAAGAATTCTGGTTGATGTTGAGAAGAGTTTTTAAACACCTGAAGATACCATGCTCATCTGCGCAAACAGCAATGGACAAGTATGCATAGACACTACGTAGACGTAATATCAGTTAGTTAAAAAAATAGATGTATTATTTCTCACTGAGATGAAGGTGCCCAGGTGCGAAAAGCATAAATCGTTCCCATACCGAATATGCTGGGGAAGCAGGTATATAATTATTTATATCCATTGTAAAATTGAGCTTTATATTAATATACGTACTATTACACCCAAACCGTCATGCCAAATTACAGTTTACAGCTGCACATATAGAAAAGAGATAAGCGTTCAAGGAAATCTCCTCTGGTCTGAGTAAACAAATTGTTATGGTTACTTACCGACGTACGCATAGACTCTCCCAGCTATAAATAGGAGCAGGTACTGCTTTCTGGAGGGAAAGTTTCCAGCAGTCAATTCTGACAGTCGGACCTAACATTCTTGCTATAACACTCTCGTTTGTATATCTTTGTATTTCAGTTTCCGTTAATATATTTGTTTAACTCAATTCCTCTCTTTGTGTCTTTATTTCTGGCTGCTAGCAAGGCCACAACAGAAATAGTGAACTATTTGGACGTAACGACCAGTGACTGATTTGCAGTACAGAGGGAGAGGTTTGCAAATTGAAGAGCTCCATCTAATCCATGACGCGTGGAGATGAAGCAATTATGTTATATGGGGGTGGATTGTTGCAAAATACACTAAATATCTATTCATTTACTAATTCTGACACATCTGGTTTGATGCTCTTGCCGTACATCTTTAGATTCTTGACAAAATCCAAAGAAGGATCTGCTATGTAATCGATCCTGACTTGGCTTCTCGACTTCAGTCACTTTCTCACTGACATGACGTGGCTTCCCTCTGTCTTTTCTACAAATATTTTCATGGCGAGTGCTCTGTCGCCCTTTTATTACTTGGTGCCCCGGTTGCATGAATTCAACCGTGCTACTAGATTGGCAGTTAGGTCTCGCCGTTTTACTGCTGAACTGATTAGATGCAAACACCACTTCTATTCTAACAGCTTCTTTTCTCGCACTAATCACCTGTGGAACTTTCTTCTAATTTCCTGATTCCTTGCTGTTGTGGAGCTATTTCGCAGTGGAGGCTTGTATTTGTACTAAATCGGTCCTAAAATATTTCAACGTACAAAACGTTAGGAACTTGATATAATAGGTATTACGCAGAGTAATCTTGTTGTGGTCGCTGATACTTTTGTATTCGACTAACTGTCGCCCGACATCGACTGACCGTCGTTTCTCTTACTACTCCTACTTCTATTAGGTGGGAGAGTCTATTAACTATAGAATAGGTGTGTTTCACCATAAAACTTGCTAACTACAATCTTCAAAAACTGAAATGCAATCGATATCTTCTGTCTTCTGGAACCCTGTTCCATGTCCTTTCGTCAATCCTCGCCATTCTCAGCCTTCACAAACTCTTTCAGTTTCAGTCCCTGTAACTCCTGCGTTCTACTGGCATTATCTACTTGCTTGCGAGCGATGAAACGATTAAAAAAAAAAGAAGGTTAAGAGTGGGAAATTATTCGTAGTATTTTGGTTATGTTAGCCGTTTTGATGTGTTGCCTCCACGTAAATTAAATGAAAATAATACTAAAAATATTGGGTAGTATTCCTAGGATTCGCTACTTAAACATAAACAAATATTCCTTTTTGTAAGAAAATTGTGATGAGAGATGTAAAGTGGGTACTTAAAAACAATTTGAAACAATTTGATATTGTGAGGAAAACGATATTGAAGCTAATTATAATTACTAAACATCGTTCTTTAGCCAAACATTGTGATACTATTTATATGGTGGGATAGAACTCTCAGGACACTACTATAATCTACTTATGGAGAAGCCAACGATTAAAACACAAGCGCACTTCACAAATTTAATGGCATCATGAAGGAGGGAAAATTTCTGGATAAAGTGAAGCAATACCTGAAATTAAAATTTAGTTTCAAAAGGTTTTTTTTTTTCCAAAAGGACAACGAGCTGCAAGTATACTTTCAAATTTATGGTAAAATGATTGTGTAATTTGAATTTATTGTTAATACTAAAAAAAAAAAAGCTATTGGTTTAACCATTTCTAAGTTCTAATTTGCAAACAATATAAAATATACGAGACGAACTGAAAAAAAAGCGAGTCACTCTGGAGGATTAAAAACTTTACAAACAAGCGTAAAATCTTTCATGGGCAATGGAGCAAAAAATTTTCGTAGCTTATTGCTGACTATTAGAAAATTTTGAACCATTTAAAGGCAATGCAATCAAATAATGGTCGGCTGCTCCTTTGCAAACACACCCGTTAGCGGGAAAATCACTCAACTGACGTCTGCTCAGACATATTTGTGGTTTTCAACACTAGCACGACCAAACTGTAATTTATACTACAAGTATGATGAGTGGGCCATAGTTACAATTTCTAGGAGAAACAGCGCGCATAATATGGTGTGATCAACAGTTTGAACGGCCTGTACGCTTAAAAACTCGGTCAGGATGTGTTCGTGCTGGCGCAAATCATAGACGATCTTCTGCATAGTTCCGTCTACTCAGTTTTCACAGACGAATCTTCGGTTAACTACGAGGGTTGGGTCACATGGTATGCTGTAACCTAGAAAAGGCTACTGAATGAAGAATAACCAAAACGGAGGTTAGAAATGAAATGGTAATCTTTATAACAACAACAAAATACAATACTCACCAGCGGCGTAAAGTATGTAAACCACTGCTACATATGGACTACTTAGACAGCATAATGCCCCCAGTTATAATAGTGCCCAACGTATTTATGAGGACTGGGAAATACACTTTAGTGTTCATAGGCACGGTATATAACACTATCTCAGTTCAGGTTCTATCTATCTATCTATCTATCTATCTATCTATCTATCTATCTATCTATCTATCTATCTATCTATCTATCTCTCGTAACCTAGAAAGTAATAACCAAAAACGAAGTTGGAAATGAAATGGTAATCTTTATAACATCAACAAAATACAATACTCGCCAGCGACGTGAAGCAGGTAAACCACTGCTGGTGGTGCACTACTTAGCATATTACCCCCACTTACAATATTTTTCAACGTATTTATGAGGATTGGGACATAACCATCGGTGTTCATAGGTACGTTATATAACACTGTCTGTCTCAGTTCAGGTTCTATCTATCTATCTATCTATCTATCTATCTATCTATCTATCTATCTGTCTGTCTGTCGTAACCTAGAAAGTGTTACTGAATGATGAATAACCAAAACGGAGGTTGGAAAGGAAATGGTAATCTTTATAACATTAATAAAATACAATACTCGCCAGCGACGTGAAGTAGGTAAACCACTGCTAGTGGTGGACTACTTAGACAGTATATTACCACCACTTACAATAGTGTCCAACGTATCTGATGGGTATTTTCCAATCCTCATAGTGTTCACAGGTACCGTATATAACATGGTATGTTTTCAGGCAATTTCCAACGGTGTCGCACGCTGGATCTGCTTCCACAGCAGAATAACAAGATCTCCCTGACAAATCAACCACGGTCAGATTCGAACGCAAATCTCATGGTTGTAAAGTGATATTTCTACCCACTCTGCTACGCTATGAAATAAGTTATAAATATATATCTGTATCACTGGCAATATGATGCAAAAAGAAAAAAATAAGAAAAAAAAAGAAAGAAAAAAAGAAAAAAAAGAAAGAAATATATATTTTTCTGAGATTTCACGTCATTAAAATAAATATCTTGATCTGAGTCCAGGGAATCCTTATTAACATTAAATGTAAAAAAATAACCAAAAATATATTTGGTTAATTTGTTTGTAAACAGAGATTGCTTTTGTACGTGCTTATAATATTATATAGAACAGTTCTTCCAACATTTTTTTAAATTTCTCTTTGAGCGCGAATTCTTAGAAATAACGTTTTACTTTCATATATTTTTTAACTCATCTTTTGACGAAATGAATTCGTACTGTTTTAAGATCTTTGTTTTTTTTTTATTTGCTAACATTTCAGTCAGATAAAGAGAACTTTCAGAATGTTTCTTAATATTTTTATACTTATGAATGCTTATATTAATTTTTATATCTATATTTTTGGATATTTACGTCTCTGACATGAATATAATACTGGTACTATGACTGATAAAACCAATTACTATCAGTCGTCGTCATCACGAATGAATAACCCGTAGGATTTATATAAGAAAAATCTACCTATTATCATAATAATGCGAGCCGCAAGTGGTCGTGACTCATCTCAGGATATACATAATTTCAGCAAAAACAAAGCAATCTTACCGCCCGGGCATGTGAAGTTATTTAGAAAAATGCAATTGAAAGAAGAATTTGAATTCGTAGATCCGACATTTCCTCACAGTAGCGTGTAGCATGAATACATCACGCAATGATATTATTTTGTAGATATTTCTGACAAAGTTTCGATTTGCAGATGTTCACCTGCGAGTACGCACGCCAGAAAATAATTTTTCTTTGTTTTTATCAAAGCTGAATAACATAAAAAAAAAAAAATACGAACTCATAAACAAACTCAAAGAGACAATCTTTTTGTAACAGACGTGAGAATCCCTATAAATTATTCTCGAAGCGAAGCAATGTACCCCAACTGCGAACTACTCTCATATATAGACACATACACACGCACACACACGCACGCACGCGCGCACAAATACACACACACACACACACACACACATATACATATATATATATATATATATATATATATATATATATATATAGCGGCCTGACGATTGCGTCTAGCATAAAACAGCCTGTCGCCTCTGAGTGCTGACTTCAATGTTCACTTTTATATTTATATTTACATTTTTATCTCTGATATTGAGCACTTTATCCCATAAATATAGCACACTTTAAAACTATATATATATATATATATATATATATATATATATATATATATATATATATATATATATATATTGTAAGAATGCTAGCTATTAATACGAGCAATTAATATACTTAAAAATATAATACATTCATTCTTCTCCAAAGTGATTGAAAATTTTAAGAAAATTACAAATCTCCGAGACGGCTTTCGATAAGTATATAGACTTTGTGTGTGTTTCGATAAGTATATTGTTTTGTATATATATATATATATATATATATATATATATATATATATATATATATATATATATATATATATATATATATACAGAGGATGAGTCAAATGTAGATAGATAGTAAGTTGAATAGGGTTTGTGTTAAGAGTATATTATAACTTAATGTTTGTGTTATATTAAATTTGATAACTAAATATATTTAAATTTAATCTTTTTTTTTTAACATAGTCCAGATAATCCAGTGTGGTAAATAATTTAAATAGTGATGCCAGAAAATGGCTGCTAAAAGAGCACTGGAAGTCTCCAAATACTGAAACCTTTACAAAAAAATGGCTCGAATCATTTGTTACCCAAGTCCCAAAGAGACAAACCATTAAACGCATTTGAGACAAATTTGATTCTAATGGCTCAATTCTTAATGCTCCTCCCCCAAACTTGAAGGTAGACTGCACAGCTGTGTAAATCGTGATGGGCAACAGTTTGCGCACTTGTGTTGATAAAAATTTATATTATTATTGTATACAATAGAATTTAATTTCCCTATGTAATAATTGCTTATCAAAATTTAATATACGAAATGGAGAAGCTACTTAATTCAACGCTGTTGGTATAAAATAACGTATGTCGTATAGGAAACACACATATACACACACATACATCCACGAATATATATATTTTTACAATAATGTTCCCTGAGTTAAAGTAATAAAGAGCAAATGAGGTCCCTTCAATAAATTAAGTGACCAACACTGGCAGAAACCTAACTAAAACATGTTGGGAATGTTGATCCATTTAACAAAGATATGTATGTCTACAAAACAATAATGTTTCTCCAATCATAACACTTAAGGCTGATGCACATATGGATAGATTCTGTTTGATTTTTTACCTTTGCACTAACATTATTTGTGGCTTTGTTGCCAGTCTATTTATATTGAATTATGTGATTAAACATATTCTCAATAAGTTCCCCAAAAAGGAACGCACTGAAATGTTGTAGATGAGTTTTTTTTTTATTGATAATTTAGTGAAAACTAGTAATTCTCCTAAAAGGCTATCATAAGTTTACCAAAAATCAAAATACAAAACGAGTGATAATTTGAAATCTTGCAATAATAATTGTGAACAGTTGAAATCTCAAGTAATGAAAGATGGAAAGTTTATTGAACAAGGTTGTGAGTTAGAGAATGTAATAGGTTTCAAATATAATCCTTCTCAGGACAACATACAAGTTGCTAGTAGTTCTATTAATGCAAATACCCAGACAGTATTATCTTGGTTACATTCTGAAGGTATTAAAACCAAGAATCAATTTGTTAAAAACAGATTAAAAGATATTAATAAAAACTATAATGAAATCATTGGTTAAATAAATTTCTATAAATTGATCCATCAGCTAACTATGAAACAGATGGCTAAGAAAAAAAATTGTTTCTATAAATATGTTCCTATAAAAAATGTTGCTATAAATTAATATAGACGCTTGTGTATAACGCTTTCTTTAATGTATGTCTTTCCAAAAACCTTTTTCAATAAAGGCGTTCCTATAATAAAAAGTATTTTGAAATAAATTAATATAACAAAATCTTCTTAAATGTATACCTTTGTCCAAAAAACTTTCAATAAAGCTTTTCCTGTAAATGAAAAAAAAAGTTGAAATATATTAACATAACCTTTTGTGTATAAAATCTTCTTAATTGAATGTCTTTGTCGAAAAAAATTAAGGCAAATAAGGTCCCTTCACTAAATAAAGCGACCAACACTGGCATAAACGTAACCGAAAACATGTTGGAAATTTTGTTAATCAATATGAAAAAATATGTATTTCTATCAAACATTAAGGTTTTTCCATTGATAACGCTTTAGGTTGAAGTATGTAAGGATAGATTCTGTTTATTTTTTACCTTTGCCCTACCATTATTTATTGCTTTGTTGCCAGTCTATTTATATTGAATTATGTGATTAAACATTTTGTCAATAAGTTTCTCAAAAATGAATGTGCTGAACTGTTGAAAAAGTGCTTTTATGTTGATAATTTAGTGAAAACTAGAAATTCTCTTGAAAGGTTATTGCATCTCTACGAAGAATCAATTGACAAAATGAGTGACGGAAATTTTAATTTGAAACAGTGCAATGAGAGTGACAAAATTCAAATAATGAAAGATGGGAAGTTTATTGAACAAGGTTGTGAGTTAGAGAATGTATTAGGTTTGAAATATAATCCTTCTCAGGACTACATACAAGTTGCTAGTAGTTCTATTAATGAAAATACCCAGACAGTATTATCTTGGTTACATTCTGGAGGTATTAAAACCAAGAATCAATTTGTTAAAAACAGAGTTAAGGATATTAGTAAAACTATGATGGAATCAGAGCTCAAATATCTTATTAATATTAAATTAAAATATCAAATATCTTATATCAATCAGAACTCAAATATATTATTTAAATTGATTCATCTGCTAAATATGAAACAGATGACTAGAAAAAAAATGAATTATACTTTTTTGTGTATAAAATTTTCTATAAATATATTCCTATAAAAAAATTCAAAAAATATTAATATACTCTTTTTGTCTATAAAATGTTTTTAAATTTATGCCTTTACGTAAAACTTTCTACAAAAAAGGAGTGCTTATATATAAAAAAAGGAACTGGAAATAAATTAATATACCCTTTTGTGTATAAAATGTTTCTTCAATGAATGCCTTTGTATAAAAATCCTTTTCAATAAAAGTGTTCATACAAAAAAATAAAAAATAAAAACTTGCAAAAAAATAAATTTGTTTATTGCACATTCTCTTGAAGTGGGGATATAAATATTGTATTTTTTATTTGCAAAAAATGTTAAAGATCTATGCATAATCGTCTCGATTGTTTTTTTTTATATATCTATTTTGAGAAATGATTATTCTTCAGAAGTGCCAGACGGTTTGTGCGTTAAATTTTGTGCATTTTTTATGGCCTTATCGACATATCAAGCGGTGAACCGTCAAAATGTTTGAAGTGTTTCGGATTTGTTTTTTTAATATTTGGAGAGATATATATATATATATATATATATATATATATATATATATATATATATATATATATATATTGGCCATTGAGAAACAAGTTCGCTGGCCAATGTCAAATTTTGGCGGGTGCCGATATCACGATGACATTTCTGTAAAAAAGCAGAGGGCTGAGGCAGAACAGGGGGGAGACAAGGATGTGCCGTTGATGAGAAGGAACAGAGCATAGCACCCACAATTCAAAGAGCAGTCGTAGGTCGTAAATCAAACCTGACAGCTACAAAGCAGATTCCTACACCAGATCATTTCACACCAAAAACATACAAGTGAATTTTATCACACAAAATCCCCTTCGAGCTGAGACATCCTGTTTATGCATACTATTAAGAACAGACCTAGGTGCTACTTAAATAATTTCTGCCTTGTGCCATTTCGTTATTCCTTTCTCCAAGTTTTTCAAGGGATTAATTTTTTGTACACGAATCCGTTTCTTAAGCTAATTGTGACATAATTTCTGTATGTGAATCCGTTTGCTATCTAATAAATTGTGACACATTTTTATTATTTCTGTGGGTAATCTCTTTTTTTTGTAACTAAGGAAAGTGTTGGCGGAGCCACGGTGGAGTAATGGATAGAAATCGGAGAGCCGAGTTCGAATTCCAGTTGAATTCATTACATTCACTTACGGGGAAAGGTATGAATCCTCTTCTTCTCCTTGCAGCTATGGTTAAATAGCAGGACACACAGCTTCTATAGCCTTGAATGGCAAATGGTGTGTCGCAGAAGAAAATGGCAACCTACTGCGTTCTCTTTCTTAAATTGCTCCTATTTTCGAAAGTTGCCGTTTCAATGAACTAAGTTTTGGGACTGATGCAAGAACTTGGATTGGGTGGGAAAGAAAATTTTTATACGTGTTCAACAAACCGCTTAAGGGAGTTAAAATTCAGATAGAGGAGCCAAACAACACCTATCATATATATATATATATATATATATATATATATATATATATATATATATATATATATATATATATTCATGAATTATTCACAAAAACAAATGCAAAGGTTAATGATTTAATTGGCGAGAAATCCATCGTCGCAAACAATTCAAATAATATACAAAACCTCCGAATCCGTTATGAATGAAAAGATCCTTGTTTCTATAAATTTCTGCCGTATTAGTTCTTATTTTTACTACAAGCTTTCGTCTGTTCCTACAGATATCTTCAGGTATGGAATAGATGTTGTTCTTGTTTTTTTTTCTCTTAGTAATAAGAGGACAACGAAAATATATGTATTGTTGTATCCGAAAATGCTATTGGAAATGAGTTATTGTTTTTGGAGCGCGCAGTAGCAACGCTGAGTTTGATTTTAAGTTTTTTACAGTTGTGCGTTCATGTACAAATATGGTGATGAACGAATTTTTTACTGGTAAATTTTCTGTCAAAGTGGCATGAACTATATTGTTCAATAATTACAGTAATGTCGCACTTATTATCCAAAAGTTGCACTTGGATCAGTTATTTTAATTACGATAAATATGTAAAATGAAAATTGAAGTAAACACTCAGAGGCAACAGGCTATTTCATGCTTGACGCAATCGTCAGGCCGCAAATGCTGAATTTTTCATCGGCTATTTATATATATAGGTCAGTGGTGCATTGTGGGTAATCTATTCTGGTGGTTATTTTTTCGGGAGTGGCTTGTTTGTTGGGGTTAATTTATTTTACTTGTTTTTCATTTTCATTTTGTATTATTTATTGTTTTCGTTTTTTGATGTTTTATTAATGTGGTTAAAATTTTGGCGGGGGGTTGCTTAGGTCGGTTATTTAATAGTTTGTTATGGTCTGGGAAGATAAATCTATTTATTCGTCCAATGTTTAGATCGCTTGCCATAGTCTATACGGTTATTTTGGACAGTTTTTAATTTATTTATTTGGATTGATTATTTTTACTTGTTTTTGCTTATTTATGCTTATTTTTATTAGTTCTGACGGTTAATTTAGCGGGTCGATTTGTTAATTTGCTCCCAACGCTATATATATATATATATATATATATATATATATATATATATATATATATATATATATATATATATATATATATATATAGAGAGAGAGAGAGAGAGAGAGAGAGAGATAATCGCTATAAACAGACAACATTTATTTTTAATGATAACACCCATGATAACAATGAAAAGTAAAAAAATAAAAAAAACGAGCTAGCTAACTGGTTTCGAACCTCGTTCAATAGAGCTAAATCGAGTTTAATAAATAGGTATATATTATCAATAAGAGGAATGGAGAGTTCGTGTAAAAAATTATTTAAATGGAAATCAATTTTGTCCTTGGCTTTCAATTGATTTCCATTAAAAATGTTTTTCACACATACTCTCTATTCCTCCATTTTGAGAGATATATTTACTAAACTTGCACAAATATACGTTGAAAGGTTAAATGTATTCAATAAAACCGACATTGGCTTCAACCACAGCCTCCAGGCGACTTCGGAATCTCCTGCACATGTTCTGAACTGTCTCCTTGTTTAAGTTGGTAAATGCTGCCATAATCTTTGCCTTCAGTTTGTCTTTAGTGTTAGAAGGAGTGTTGTTGGTCGCTGGCTCAACTGCGCTCCATACACAATCATTTAGAGAGTTGTAGTCTGGGGATTTATGTGGTCAGATATAAGGGGTGCTGTGATCGCAGAAATTGTCTTACAGCCATGTCTGCTTTCGTCTTCTTGTGTGACATGTTCAGAGCCGTCTTATCGCATGAGCCCGATGGGCATTTGCTCAGGCGCCTCACGAGCATAGGAGCCCCCATGCTAATCTCTGTATGTTAAGCGACTTATGTTATAGAAGCCTCTTTTTAGGAAATACTAAAAATAGAAATTACTGCAAGTCACGCGTATGGCGATTGGTTGAAAGTATTTCATAATAGAAAGATCCATTTCATTTGAATTGATTCTCGAATACAAAAGGGAGAATATCCACTTTTGACCTAGGAGACACCGGAAATGGCGAGAACTTTCTTCAAAGACGCCGCCCACCTATATAAATGGAAGGGTTGGTTTGTCTTGCCTGTTCAGTTCACGTGAAGCCAATTTCGCTATCACGGAAAAGATCAAAGAACTGACCCTGACTACCGACGATCAAACATTGCACAGTCCTAGCACAGACTCGCCGGTAAAATTCTCATTTCTAGCTTTTAATATGACTTTTTGTTGGAGACAACATTAACTTGCATTTTTTTTTTCTGTTTTTATTTAATATTTAAATTTCCCCTAGATTGAGTCAATATTGTTTTGAATGTTCAATTGTAATAAATTTGTAAAAACATTATTTTTATTTTTATAAAACTCGAGTGCTGAAATTATTTTTTATTCTCCTTTTCTTTCACCACTCTCTCTCTCTCTCTCTCTCTCTTTCTCTCTCTCTCTCTTTCTCTCTCTCTCTCTTTTCTCCTTTTTGTCGCAAGCGTGACAAAATGGCGGGGAGGCTCGTCATAAGCTTTGATGTTCATTTCAAGACAAAAAAAAGTCAGTTCAGCTGTTGTTACTAAAAAAAGAAAAAAATAGAAAAAAGAAAACAATTTTCTCATTCGATGCTCATTACACAACAAATTTATCTTCAGATATTTTTCTGATAAAACTTTGTTTGTTTAAAAATTTCGTTTCCGTTTGAAGAATTCTTTCTTCACATAATTTGAATTGAATGAAGAATTTCACCTGTTAAAAAAAAACAGAGTTATTGCAACAAGCGTCGTATTTTGATTTAAACATTAATGAAAAAAGCAGAAGTAACATTAAACCTACTTTAGTACTATTAATCGCAATGACATGCTTATTGGATATGCAACTTATACATTGTATATGAACCCAGGTATAGGGCTATGCATAGATTATTAGTGATTGAATCTGAGATTCAATCCCAAATTTGAACACATTTAAGGTAAGCATGTAGTCGTTATTTAAGATTATGAATTTATAATGTAGCACTAATTACCTGGTATTGCTAGATTTTAAATATATGAATGGATAAGTTTTAATTTTGCAAGTTGAGAAAAGTGTTGAATGTAGACTTGTAGAACTATACATAGATGAGGCTAGATCAGCGCCAGAGACATTAGCTATGCCACAAAGAAAGATCGAGGTCTTGTCCGACAGTTTTGTGAATCAGCGCATAGTAGAGAGTTCGTATGAAGAATAAATACTGTTTGTACATTTAAAGGAAGAACATGTTCATTTTGGAAGCAGAATATTTAAATATTTAGCTCTTCCTGTAAGCACTTATATAATATCACCTTACATCCTGGTATAGGACTAAATGTAAAATGTATATTTCCAGGCAGGATAATATTTCAGCAGAAAGAAGCCGTAATGTTTTGAGTGGAGTACAGAAGTAGAAGAGAGTTTCAGAGGAGGAGAAAATAAGAAAACTTCCAAAATTAACATCGAGACTCAATACAAGTGCAACGACAGACACCCATGCCATTCCTTCAGATATAGTATCCCCATTTACACCCACTCCTGCAATATCGACCACTTGAATTGTTCCTTCAGATATAGCATCCACTTTTACACCCACTCCTGCAATATCGACCACTTGAATTGTTCCTTCAGATATAGCATCCACTTTTACACCCACTCTTGCAATGTCGGACACTAGAAGTGTTCCTTCAGATATAGCATCCACTTTTACACCCACTCCTGCAATGTCAGCCACGAGAAGTGTTCCTTCAGATGTAGCATCCACTTTTACATCCACTCCTACAATGTCGGTCACAAGAAGTGTTCCTTCAGATATAGCATCCACTTTTACACCCACTCTTGCAATGTCGGCCACTAGAAGTGTTCCTTCAGATATAGCATCCAATTTTACATCCACTCCTGCAATGTCGGCCACTAGGAGTGTTCCTTCAGATATAGCATCCACTTTTACATCCACTCCTGCAATGTCGGCCACAAGAATTGTTCCTTCAGATATAGCATCCACTTTTACACCCACTCTTGCAATGTCGGCCACTAGAATTGTTCCTTCAGATATAGCATCCACTTTTACACCCACTCCTGCAATGTCGGCCACTAGAACTGTTCCTCCAGATATAGCATCCACTTTTACACCCACTTTTCCAATGTCGGGCACTAGAATTGTTCCTTCAGATATAGCATCCACTTTTACACCCACTCTTGCAATGTCGGGCACTAGAAGTGTTCCTTCAGATATAGCATCCACTTTTACACCCACTCTTGCAATGTCGGCCACTAGATGTGTTCCTTCAGATATTGCATCCACTTTTACATCCACTCCTGCAATGTCGGCCACTAGAACTGTTCCTTCAGATATAGCATCCACTTTTACATCCACTCCTGCAATGTCGGCCACAAGAAGTGTTTCTTCAGATAGAGCATCCACTTTTACATGCACTCCTGCAATGTCGGCCACTAGAAGTGTTCCTTCAAATATAGCATCCACTTTTACACCCACTCTTGAAATGTCGGCCACTAGAATTGTTCCTTCAGATATATCATCCACTTTTACACCCACTCCTGCAATGTCAGCCACGTGAAGTGTTCCTTCAGTTATAGCATCCACTTTTACACCCACTCTTGCAATGTCGGCCACTAGAAGTGTTCCGTCAGATATAGCATCCAATTTTACATCCACTCCTGCAATGTCGGCCACAAGAAGTGTTCCTTCAGATATAGCATCCACTTTTACACCCACTCTTGCAACGTAGGCCACTAGAATTGTTCCTTCAGATATAGCATACACTTTTTACACCCACTCCTGCAATGTCGGCCACTAGAATTGTTCCTTCAGATATAGCATCCACTTTTACACCCTATCTTGCAATGTCGGCCACTAGAAGTGTTCCTTCAGATATAGCATCCACTTTTACACCCAATCTTGCAATGTCGGCCACTAGAACTGTTGTTTCAGATATAGCATCTACTTTTACTCCCACGCTTGCAATGTCGGACACTAGAATTGTTCCTTCAATCTCTTCCCTTTATATATATATATATATATATATGTGTGTGTGTGTGTGTGTGTGTGTGTGTGTGTGTGTGTGTGTGTGTGTGTGTGAGTTTATATATGAGAGTAGTTAGTAGTTGGGGTACATTGCTTCGCTTCGAGAATAATTTAGAGGGATTCTCGCGTCTTTTGCAAAAAGATTGCATCTTTGATTTTGTTTATGAGTTCCTATGAGTTTTTATGTTATTCGGCTTTGATAAAAACTAGGAAAAATTATTTTTCTTGTCTTTATAAAAGCCGAATTACATAATCGTATGTAACGATTGTGTCTAGCATGAAACAGCCTATCGCCTCTGAGTGTTGACTTCAATGTTCACATTTATATACATTTATATCGTGTTGAACTAACTGATTTTCTTAGATTCTAAAGTCACTAGTATTGTCATTGCATTATATTTAGTAACACTACATTCTGTCGCTAATAATTCATTACATTTTGCGGCTGTTGAGTATATCTTTCTTAAATGTAGTCCTATCGTAAAGTCATTTATAATGTGCTTCTAAAATAATATTACCTAATTTGTTTCTGTAGTAAAATCATTAGAAATTATTTACTTTATATTTATAATGCCCCAATCATAATACCAGTCCTTTAGAGTTTGTCTATATTTCTGAGATGAGGTATTATGTACAGTATTTACATTAGTCGGACTATTGTCCTCATCTTTGTCGCCATATTTGTCACAACGTTTCGGCCGTGGTACGCTCCGGCCTTCTTCAGTTGGAATTTCGAACTGAACCCTTTATTTAACTCTGGTAAAGACATCCAATGATAACAGCAAAAAATTGCAATATGAGCACTGGTAAAAATGATGCTGAAAACATTAGGTTTATAATACTCAGAAGTTCATACCCAGATGTCCTCAAGGACACATGGCACAGTGGATAAAGGCGTTGGTTAGATCCAGTGACAGACCCAAAGAAGGTGAGTTCAATTCCTGGTTAAGGCAGTTGAGAACTTTCAGAGCAGGAGATAACTGATAACTGACATCCATCAAACATGGCACGTGGAATTAGAACAGTCTACCCCAGCGATCGAAATAAAGGGTTCAGTTCGAAATTCCAACCACCTGAAGAAGGCCGGAGCGTACAACGGCCGAAACGTTGTGACAAATATGGCGACAAAGATGAGGACAATAGTCCGACTAATGTAAATACTGGACCAGTCGTTTAATTATTGAACATAGACAATTCTTTCTTGATTTTAGTGTATATCCAGTCTCAGGCCAATTGTAATAGATTTGCATTATACAAATACTTTTCAGTCATTTATTAACTGGCTAGCTGCAATTAGAATCAAGGGGCCCAAAATATTTTTTTTTTTTAGTGGAAAGAACAGTAAAACTCAAAATGAATATTAGCATATTTTAAATTGATTTTTTCCTCTATCTTGCTGACGTTTAGAATTTCAGAAACGATTCTGAAAAAAGTATCATAATACTTTATTAAATAAAGGACTTTGAAATCAAAATATTTTCCCAATGAGTGATGATAGGAATGGAAATGAAACGGTAGTTCAGATAATGTCATGAATAATAATAATAATAGTAATAAAAATAAAAAATAAAAATAATAATAATAAATAATAAAATAAATAATCATAATAATAATAAAATAATAAAAATAATAAAATAATAAAAATAAAATTAATAATAATAATAAAAATAATCATAATAATAATAATGATAAAAATAATAATAATAATAATAAAAATAATAATAATAATGATAAAAATGATAATAATAAAATTAATAATTATAGTAATAATACTAAAATAATAATAAAATAAATAATAATAATAATAAAAATAATCATAATAATAATAATAATGATAAAAATAATAATAATAATAATAATAATAATAAAATGATAATAATAAAATTAATAATAATAACAATAATAATAAAATAATAATAATAAAATTAATAATAATAATAAAATAATAATCATAATAATAATGCTAAAAAAATAATAATAATAATAATAATAATAAAATGATAATAATAAAATTATTATTATTATTAATAATAATAATACTAATAATATAATTATTACTATTATTATTATTATTAATAATAATAATAATAATAATAATAATAATAATAAAGTAAAACGGAAAGTAAAACAACAAATTAAGTTTTAAAGAAAAACAAACAAAAAAACTGGAACGACAAGGCGTTACAGGGCAAATAGCTAAAAAAAACGAAATAAGCAAATGTGAACCAAGAGAAAAGACATCAATAGTTGAGGAGAACCGGTTTGATAGCTGAGTCAGACGGCCTAATTATTGCAGCTCATGACCAAATCCTCGCAACCAGATCCTATCACCGTCACATAATCAAGGCTGGAGCTAACCTGAAATGCAGGATCTGCGGAAAATATGATGAAACTGTCGACCATATTATCTCAGGATATACGGAACTGGCAAAAAATGAATATACCCACATACATAACAAGGTAGCAACATGTGTGCACTAGAAGATATGCAAGGAGCACAAAATCGAAACCACTGAGAGATGTTATGAGCACCAAGCAGACACAGTTACCCAAAATAACGATGTAACTATCCTCTGGGACATGCCAATTAAACTGACCGGGAAATAAAAAAAAAAAACAGACCTGCTATTATCATAAATCACAAGAAATTCAGGAAGTGTATGCTTATTGACATAGCAATACCATCTATTCCACACTATGTAAAAAAAAAGGTTAAGAATGAAATCCCCCATGATTAGTGGAAAGATCTATAAGAGCGATTGGAAAGATGGATAAGAGCGATTGGAAAGAACGATAACAGTGATTAGAAAGAGCGATAACAGCGATTGGAAAGATAAGAAGAAACGATTGGAAAGAACTATAAGAGCGATTGGAAAGATCGATAAGAGATTGGAAACATCGATAAAAGCGATTGGTAAGATCAATAAGAGCGATTGGAAAGAACGATAAGAGGGATTGTAAAGATCGATAAAAGCGATTGGAAAGATCGATAAATGCGATTTGAAAGAACGATAAGAGCGATTTGAAAGAACGATAAGATTGGCGGGAAAGAAAGTTAAGGGACTGGAAAAAGCGATAACAACTACTAGACTTGAATAATACGAGGGATTGTAAAGATCGATAAAAGCGATTGGAAAGATCGATAAGAGCGATTGGAAAGAGTAAACCTTACTGTGAAAAAAAAACAAACAAAAATCAGTAATGGCTGCTCGGTCCATGAATGATATGGTTTGCTTCTAAGTAAACAGCTAAGATTACCTTTATTATATAAGTGACATTTTTACTGTTACGTTCTCTTAAAACTTCCATGTTGTTTACATGGTCCATCTATGTTATTCTCTCTGTTTTACTACAGAACAACATCTCTGATGAATCAAGACTTCTCTTCATCTGTGAGGAAACTGCCCAGCATTTATTGGCATCTCCGAGGATTGATATGGCACAGTAGTTTAGCATTCATTTCTTTGTTTCTCACGCTATTTTCCTTCTTCTTCGTACTTTGTTTTGAAGAAATCTTTTGCTATTTCAATGAGTGTACGGATTTTGGTGTTGCTTTTCCCATTCTCTTTTAAAACTTGTCCCAGATATTTAAACTTATGTACTCGTTTGATTTCGCCATGTCATATCTTCACATTATAAAACCAGATCATGGATCTTAAATCGATGTAGCAATATGACGCCAGAACTTGACCTTAAGACTGCAAATCACATCCTCCCAAACCATTGCCCATTGACGATTATACCACGACTAGTTTCTGCTGTAATTACGCATTATTAATTCTGACATTTTGATTAGAATCTATAAAAAAGAAAGTTTAAAACAAAACAAATCCTGTTTATTTAGTTTTTAGTTTCATTAAAATTCACCCAAATTGAATTCTCGAAACTAAAATAGATGCATTAATGTTTTCTGTTCATTTCTTATTTCTATTGATTTTCTTTGAAGAGCAAAATCGATTTTGACAGAATAAACACTTGAAAGACAAACAATGAGCAGAAAACAAAATATAAAGAGTCGCTAGAACGGGCCCAACGACATTTTACTTGCTTTTTTGTATTTGCCTTCAGAATTTGACATGATGAAAAAAGAAATCCAAAGCAAAAAGAAATGGGAACGAAAAGGAAAGAAGAAAAGAAAAACTGGATTTTTTAATATCAAAGGCAAAACAAGAAGTGATTTAAAAGAAGCAGTTAGAATGGCAGAAGATGAAATTTAAAGAGGACCGCAAAGAGAGATGAATGGAAAGTAACTAAGAAAAAAAGAAAAGAAACAGTGAAAGAAACGAGTAACAGAGGAAGTAACGAAGAGGGTATGAGAAACAGGTAATAGAGAAGATGAGAGAACGAGTGAGAAAAATGAGCAATAGTGGATTTGATGTTATTTTTTATTAACATTTTTGTCAACTTTTTTTTATGGGCAATCTAAAGGCGAAACCTATTACTAGTTGCAAGAATAATTATTTCTTTAAAAACTTATTTGAAACTAACACTGACTTTAACCAGATAAAAGTCTTTCTGTTTAATCAGGGGGGT